TTTCATTGCCACGGTTGTGCGTTTGTGCTTATATTAAAAATGTGGTCTTCCTCCTCCTTTGTTTGAATGTATGGGCTTATTTTTATACCAAACACTGTTCCCCTTTGTTTCGTGTATTCTTGAGAAATATGAGGGATGGAGAAGGGAGAAAAGATTAGCACTCAAGTATCACAGTGTGGTGCTTCTGTGTGTTAGCACGCGATGTGTATGTACATTGTAAAGTGATTGCTTTGCTTTTGTCTTTGTAGCACTGCTGTTCTGATAAAATGTTTAATTCATTAGCTAGTGTTAAAAAATATAAAAGTTCCACTTCATCTCTGATATTATGTGGTTCCACACATATGATACTTGCATTTATGTTTTCTAGGCATTGCACTTGACATATGTGTGATGAACAATCAAACTTAATGTGCACTTGGATTTATAGCTTATTATAGAGATGGACCTAAATATTTTTGAAATAGTATCCCCTGAATAAGTTTGTTGCTTCGTTTGGCAGCCTGCCTTAGCACCTAGAAGCTTTTTCGGGGTGGAAGATTTTGTTGATGATGACAATAGTCGTCCATATACTTACCAGAAGGGGAAAAAATCGAAGAACCCAAACAAGCATGTGTCTTTCAAGCAACGGACTGTAGCTTACATGGAACCGTTTACACTTGATGTTTTCATATCAAAGCGCTTTATTTCAGCGTCAATCACCCATAGAGTTACATGCAAACAGGTTGCAGTAGCTGGTACAAACTCCAAAGATATCAAGGCAGTTCTCAAATCACGAAGTGATATTCCTGCATGCTTGTCTGTCGGACAGATCTTGTCCGACAGGGCAAGAGAGGCTGATGTATACACTGCTTCTTATACACCTAGAGATAGGGACAAATTCGAAGGGAAAATTAGAGCAGTTGTTCAGTCCCTTATTGATAATGGTATCGACATCAAAGTTTATCTTGACTGAAAAAAGGTACTATGTCTACCCGTTGTATCCAAGCATATTAAATCATCTTAAAGTAATGAACCCTTATTGCAGTCTACTTAGTATTTCTTATAATCTGAGATTTTCATAAGCCCCTCTTTGTGGAGAAGGCTGGCTTGCTCACTTTTTTCTGATTGATTGATCGGCCTATGCAATCGTTACTAGAGAAGACCAAGCAGTCGTGAAGCCTTGACCTGGATTGAATATATGTATGCCCTAACATAGAGTTGAGGAACCTATAATACAGGCTTTGGATGCTCCAACCTTGCTGTGTATACCTGGATAGTATTCATTATACGTGTCCATCTTTTGTTTCGCTGTCATCATCAGAAGTTCCAAGGACTAACACTGCTAGGGAGCAACATTAGTGGCTTTCTAGTGCATCCCCCATTTACGTAACAACCAATACAACTGTACAACTTGTTCTACGATTGTTGAACTCGTTTTGGAGGGATGTAGTGTAGGTTTACACATTTCTGTTATTTTTACTGACAAAATGTTACCTTAGGTTATAAATATCATGTAAGGTTGTGAGGAAGAGTGGAGTGTCACTGACTCGAGCTTATAATCAAAATGAGCCCATTATTTCAGTTCTTTACTCTATTTACCCCCTTTTGTATATAATATGAAATACTTTGTATGAAAATGTAAAAGTGTGTATAAACACTATTGAATATGTGTATGTGATGTAGTATGTTATGTTACACTATATATTATTTAAAATATTTTCTAAGATATGAATGTTCTAAAGATGAAGCTTTCACAATTTCACAAATATTAAATTAAGTCCATCTATATAAAGTAGGGTTGCGTATCAATAAGTTCTGTTATGCTTTTGAAGCTTTTGATTCGACTAATCAGTTATCGGGTAGTAAATATGTTAAATCATTATAGAATAGTGGCTTGTCGGATATCGATTTATTGATTATAGATCGTTGTCTGTTCGATTATCAATTATAGATCGCTGTCGGTTTGATTATCCGTTTAATATTAAGATTTAACACGGAAAAAAAAATCATAGAAGCTCACTTAAAAATAAAGTGATAAACCAAATGAATACACCGGCTTACTAAGAGATCTTGCATGTTTATAGGGTGCTTCTTATATCTTTTCGTAAGCAGAAGTATGAGTAAAGCTGCTCTTATTCTATTCTTAATTCCACTTTTTATGTATGTTAACAAGAGCCTAACCTCTTGTAACCAATCGATAGATAGGCTAAAAACATATGAGTTGACAAATAGTATTATATCTTGCTCGAAAGCAAATATTACCGCATTTTACAATGACCAAGAGTTTGATGCAACATAAATAAAGTTTGTAATTAAACACTAAGTCAAGCACTTTATATATAATGAATGCTATAAATATTAATTAGTAAATTACTATCAAGTTATCAGTTAACCCGTTGAAAAAAAACCTCAAATATTAAGAACCGATAACACTATAACAAAAACAAAAACAAAATTATTACTGAAATCAATACCTTATTTTTTTATTCAGGCTATATATTTGGTTCAAATTTGAACAGCCATAATATAAAGGTGATTGGTGGTGATGAAAGGAATACCAAGGACGTTGAGACTGCAGATGAGGTTGGAATGGAAGATGAAGATACATACAAAGAGTTACCAGCAAGATTGTGGTTGAGTGTTAAATTAAGTTCATTCTTATTAAAAGCTTCACCAAGTCTTTTTTGATACAGAGTCATCTTTGTTAAAAGTGTTTTATCCTTAATATAAAGTTTTTCAATATAAATTTAAATTTAATCGGATTCCAATATCAATATCGAACACAAAAAATACATGCAAGAGTGTCCCATTTGGCCGTTTTGTTGAGTCTTAATTATCAAACACATTTTGTAGTCTCAAGACCTTCACCTCTTTGCGAACAGTGATTCCACCAAAATATTGATTGTGTCCGATGAAGATTAATAACTTAATTTTTTTTTTAAAAGAGTTTAAAATATCTTTAAATTATTTGAAATAGATTATATGTATCTTTAAATTATATTTCAGCTCAAAACTATCGTTCTCATTAAATTATTGGGTCAAAAGTGTCCTTAAATGTCACATAGATGTCACATGCCAATAGGGTTCCACTTCCACATAGACTAAAAGAAAAAGGATATAAAAATATCCTTAAAATATTTGAAATAGGTCATATTTACCCTTAAACTATATTTCGGCTCAAAACTACCTTTCCATCAAACTATTTGGTCAAAAGTATCCTTCTTGTTAACAGAACTTGTTAAATATTATGCGTATGCCACATTGCATGCCAATAGGGTTCCACTGTCACATAGACTAAATTACTAAATCCTAATTACCCCCCCCCCTCCCCCCTCCCCCCTATGTAATTGTTTTCGAGAAATGCTTTAACCCCTTTTACCTCATTTCACGGCTAAGGTTTCATAGCTTTCTTTGGGGTTGAGTTTAAAGTGGATATTCGTGGTTGTAGGTTAGTAAATATTTTTTTTTATTTTATTGTGTTTACAATTTCAAAGCATGATGGTAGGATTTCACAACTTTTCGCTCATTTTCGCGGCTAGGATTTCATAACTTTTTTCGGGGCTGGGTTTCAAAGTGAATATTCATAGTTGTAAGCATAATAAAATAAGAAAAGAAATTTACTAACCTACAACCATGAATATCCACTTTGAAACCCAGCGACAAAGAAAAGTGTGAAACCCTAGCCTCGAAATAAGGTAGAAGTGGTGAAATCGTTTTTGAAAAATAATGAAACGAGGAAAAAAAATTAAAAGAGTGATTAAGATTTAGGGATTTAGTCTATGTGACAGTGGAACCCTATTGGCATGCAATGTGAAATCCACATGACATTTAACAACTTCAGTTAATATGAAGTGCACTTTTGACCCGATAGTTTGACGAAAAGGATAGCAGGGGTGGCTCAACGCAAACGGAGGCCTAAAGCGAAATTTCAACTAGAGGCCTAAATTCTAAATAAACTTCATATGCATTATTTTTTTAAAATACATTTTTAAATGCAAAGTATACTTAATATTTTTTTTATAATTGATTTACTTTATTTCTTTTTCAATTATTTGCTTTAGATAAGATTTTTATCAAATCAACGTTGAAAAACATTTGCTTATGTGGACAATTATTATATGAATTGTTAACATAGAATTTGATTCAAGAAGTTGATAATTTTGTACACTCCACATTTTACTATGGTTGTTGTAATGTTTCTAAATCTTAATTTGAAGAAATAGAAAAAAAATTGCAATTCACTTTGCTCAACACTTTTCGACTATTGATTCATATTTTTAATAGAGTATTACTCTAACTTATCAAAAATTTAAAGAAGAGAGGGTAAAAGGAGTTAAAGGAATAAAATAACTATTAACATAGAGACTGCGAGAAAATAAAACAATTCTTCTTCATTTCATCTATTTAAATAGGATTAAGGAGAATTTAAAAATATACTTTTTAAAAAATAATATATTGTATCATAAATAATCAATTTTTTAAAAAAAAATTAACACATAATTTATTATTGATAAAAAAATTGAGGCCCCCAGGCCAATGCATTATTCAAATAAGCATAGAGCCAGCCCAGAAGGATAGGTTAGAGCCGAAGTATAGTTTAAGAGTATTTTTGATTCTTTTTTAATGAATAAATAAAGATTTTTAAAAATTGTGATCTATCAATAGTATTTATATAGCTAAAAAAGCAAATAATTAGAAGTAAAAAAAGGGGATATTTAACTTTTTTTTCAAGGAGAAGAAGGAACATGAGGACCCCCAATTGGATCTTGATGGATATTATGTCCATTTAAATGGATAGGAATCTGAAGTTGTTGCCTGTGATTTCAAATGGATTTTTCATTAGACATATCCCAAATTTTGGTTGGGATATCTTCTTTTGAATAAATAAATGTAAGTGACAAAATAAAAAGATACTTTTGTTAGCCCTAGGTCTGAGATCTTAAAAGTCATTTAATTTATTTCCTTGATAATATATTTATGAATAAAGAGATCAATAAAATAAACGAAAAATAATTTAAAATATCCTTAACGTATTAGAAATGATTCAAAATATCCTCCAGCTTTCACATATATATTGGATCAAATTTGTCCCTTCTTCCACCTATTATACAAAAATATATTATTTACTTATTAAAAGTTATTCAAATATTCTTTATTATAAAGCGAAATATATACAATTTAAAAATATAATCCTAAATTAAAAAACTAACTGCACTTTGTAACTCCATCGACAATCAACATATAACCAACATTTGTGGAATTATCCACCTAAATACAACACAGAACAAAAGAACAAACTGGGAATAGCAAACAAAAATTATTTTGTTCTATGATTTTCACCTTTTTTCACAAAAATAAATTAAAATAAAATTTATGTACAAGACTTCAAGCAAATGAAGTTCCTTGGAACCATTCCCTCAAGCTCTACTAGTGTATATACATATATATACTTTCACAGTTTCAATTTATGTGGTATTATTAATTTGATTATGTATGAAGTTCAATCAAAGACTAAAATAATTATTTTTTTGAAGTTTGTTTCAAACACGTCATGATATTTTTGTAGCAATAAAAATATGTCATATATATAACAATAATAATATATTCAGTGTAATTCACACATAGATAAGATTGAGAGATATGATACCATGTATGTAAACATTATTTCTACTTTTGTAGGAAAATGAGACTATTTTTAGAGGATCTTTAATCTAATAAAAGTACTTTTCAAAACTGATTTGAAAAAAAAAAGTATTTGATGAAAATACTTAAAAGGAAAGAGGATAATAAACAATAGTCCCCCCCCCCCCCCCCAACCAACCCTCCTCCCCCAAAAAAAAAGAAGAGAAATTGGTCGACTACCTACTATACCATTAACGTTTACATGTATATTCAATGTACAAGCTTTCCTATTTATGATTATTTCTTCGGTGAATTGGAGATGTGTCATGTCATATATATATATGTCTTATTGTCATGTCATATATATATATGTCTTATTGTCACGTATTCTTAATTCCTCCTTTGTCTACGTAGTTTTAGCTCTACTTAGACCTATCATTGTTAACCTTGCGCACCTCTCCTCACTGAGGTATCTATGCTCTTTCTTTTCACATGTCAATTATTGCTCGTCGCACCTTTTACCACGAAAGTCACCCCTACGTTGTCTTGTATATATATCCTCATTTCTAATATGTCCACATATCCATCTAATTAAGCATTCTTTTTTCTGTCACATAAAATGAAATCCAAATAGTAGAGTTAAGTTATATATATACGCATTAATATTAACGCTGTAAAAATATTTACACAACTAGCATATCATTTGTCATGTCAACATTTTGTACCAAATAAGACAAAATTATAATAGGTTGAGTATTAAATCGAAACAACTCTAAATTTAGACATCTAAGTGAAAAGTCATGCAATTTCAGATATTTCTCAATAAATTCAACCTAAAAAATAATAATTAACCTACTATAATATTTTTTTAAAAAAAATACTAGTACTTTAGAAGTGTTCCATAACTTCAATTAATCTTAAAAAAAATAACTAAAACAATTGTATTCATTTATATGTTGATTGCTTGAAGATTGAGAATACATGCATGATGCATGTAAGATTCAAACAATATGGGCTGCTTTTCTTAATTAAAAAGAAAAGCATATACATGCATGCAAGATAAAGAACTCATAAGAACATACTGAACATTCACAACATACATTGTCAGTACAAATATTTCTTGCTATCATCATATCATCTTTACTACGTAGCCGATATCTATCTTTTATTTTTAAAATTACAAATCTCACGTTTTAAAGACTATATATAAATATCACATAATTGTATGACCTGCTAGTACAAAAAGTTTCTCACATTTTAAAAAGGTAACACTACTAATTATTAGTGTAAGATATGTATAAATCTAGAGATAAAATGTCATGAAAATATTGGCAAGGTTTTTTAGGATATAATTAAGCTTTTATTAGAACAAGAAAGGTCACAAATTAAAGAAACTTTACTAATTATATAAGATAGAAAATATATTCTTGAAACTAAATTGATCATGATCACTAGAAGTAGGGAAATACCCAAATCTTCACTCAAGAGTGGAACACAATCATCTCTGCAAGCTTTTGTTCTAGACCATCCATGCACATGCATGAAACATCACTCTCCTGCATATATTATGAACAAAAATAATATTATGACACTAAATCATCCATACACTAACAAAGGTTTTTCCAATCGCGAATCAGTACAAGAATATGATTTTCCCACTCATTTTCTAGCATACTAATAACAATGCATGGTGGGAAATAGTTGAAAGCTTTCTAATATTTTTTTTTCATATAAAACAATTACTATTTTTTTTCTTCGCACACAATTCAGGCAAAATATCAATGAAAATAGTCGTTGAACATTTTTCAGTGGGAACACTCATGATTATCATCTGTGCTTTCCCCGGCTAAGTTGAATTGAGCATCATCCGCGTAATATCATAGTAGACAAAGGTCTAGAGATAGTTAAAATCTCACTTCCACACATTATTTAAAAAGGAATAGCAAAGTTAGTTGACACAAGGGTTGATGGATATGCAAGCATAATAACTTATATATATGTTGTTTGATCTATATCTCCGTGAATTTTGGAACTTTTGCTTGCCTTGTATTACTTTCAATTGAATTTCCTATATCAAAAAGATATATTGTGTGAATACTAGAATACAAAATATTTTTTTTTTGCATATATATAAATTGTTGAATCTCCTTGACATGTGAGAGAAATTTTAGTCCAAAGTGATTCACAAAAGTATTATCATCCACATGTTAAGCTTATGAAAAAAACATTAAACTCGTTTGTCAGGGACGTGTAAAATATAAGTATGATCAATCAAACTGTTTAAACTTTTAAATGAGATGGACATACGAACATATACCTCAATTTGAATCCTATGGAGTAATCTTTCATCTACTTTGGTTGAGACACAACTAACAACATTGAGTTGTCTCTTTACTAGCTCTTCAAGTACTCTTGAGAGGGGAATCCTTTCATTGATCAAAATCTCCACACCACAATCACATAAGTTTATTTTCACATAATCACCAAAATGTTTATCCTCCTTGGAAGAACACAAGACCAAATCTTCAAGTTTTTTTCTCTTTATTTCAAGTTCTTTGATATTATTCTCTAAGTTTTTGATATGATTCACTGCTTGTTGCATGTCATCTGGTAATGAACGTTTTCCCTAATAAAAATTATAACATAAAAGTTTTTTTTAAAAAAATTGTCTTAATTAGCTCAACACATGACCTAATAGTAATTAGGTTTTATGCAATAAAATTAAGAGAAGAATATATAATTATAGGCAATTGAATTCACCTTGATATGAGGAAGATGTGATCTAAGAGTAGCATAAAGATTAGACATTTCTTGTCTTCTATGCCTTTCAACATCTCTATGCAAAACTTTTTTTTGAACCGACTTCTTTCTGGTTAAAGAATCTCTTTCTTTATGATCACTTATCGATCGTTTCCTTTTATAATTAGGATCATTTGTGGGAAGATCTTGATGGTGTGGTTGGCATGGAGTAGAAGGAATCTGAATCAATTGTTGTTGATCATGATCTTTGATTTTTTTGGAAGAGAAGATCTCTGAAAGACAGTCCATGGGAACAAATCTGATTTGGTATATTTTTTAATTGGTTGATTTATTAGTATATAACATTATTGACAATCTCTTTACAAAAAGTAGAAGATATGTTGGTTAGGGTTTTGGGCCTTGTATATTGGAGTTATGTATTATATACGTAGTTGATTTATTATTTTTTTTGTACTAGTACAAGGATAAAGAAAGTGACCCCTTCAATCTTCATTTTCAATTAGATTTTGTTTGAGATACTCACTTTTTTTTATAAGAGCTTGATTTTCCTCTATTAGTAAACAATTCAATCTTCATTAATAAGCTTTCTTTATTTGAGGAACCACCTAATTATGTTCCAAAATCAAATTCCTTGGCAGGTTCTACTTTTATTCATACAACAACAATTCAAATTCAATGTAATCTTACAAATACAGTTTTAAAAAACTAGAATGAAGTGTACACAAACCTTATCCCTATTTCTGTGGAGAGGTGTTTCTGAAGACCCTCGGTTTAGTAAAAATATTAAAGGTTTGAAACTTATAAAAATAAATAAAATATGATGAAAATATTGAAAAAACAAAATATGACGATGAAAAAAATAATAAAGGTCATTTATTTATGCTCATCATTTGGTTGAATTTGTGCATATTTTCTTTATTATATGTTTGATTATGTGTATTAACATGTTGTTTAGGTAAATTTTATCTTGTGAGTGGTTACATACCTTATTTGTTGAATATTTATGCTAAGTATTAGTTGTAAACAAGTATTTTTAAAGGTTATTTATCTTTGTCATTGTTTTGTTGCAATACATTTTGGATATATATTTTTTATTATACGTTTTTCATTTTAGGCAGATCTTAATTTGAGTCCCAAGTTTGTGACCGTGCTAGTAGCAATTGATTTGAAGATTTCAAAGTGAGTTGCTTGGATGATCACACAACACTAGACTTTTTTTGTTTTTGTTTAATTATTATTATTATTATTTGGTCTTTTTGTTTCACACAATGATGTAGACTTACATTTATTTTATTCTTAGATGCTCTAATTGAATCATATCACCAATTTTTGGATTGTACTTATATTATTCCACACTTATGGTTACTCAACGAACCTTTAGCTTTTGACCTATAATTATTTTGATCAATGTGTACTTTCTACATTGTAATAATGAAATAATTGTTTAAAATTGAAATTGGTATATATGCAGTATGCCTATCAAGTTGGAATGTAAATTTTAACACGAGTTACATGATTTTGGATACTGATTTCAACGAGCCCTTTGATCTTAACTAGTCAAATTGACACCTCTATTAACGAGACTTAAAGAGCTTTGATTAAATTTTAAGATTATCAAACACAAAAATTATATTAATATTATATAGCTATAATTTTGATATTCGGTTTATGTTCCCTAACGTGTATCAAATTGGGATTAACCATAGCTCCCTGCTTATCTCCCTCCTTCATCAACTGCTATAACATCATTATCCCATTGAAGTAAAGTGTGTTATTCAAAAAAAAAAAAAAAATTAAACTTTGCAAAAATTCTTTACTTTACTTATTTTTTTGATAGATCATTTAAATTATAAATATGCGATATTATATAGCGATGAAAAAATACTATATACGATATGAAATAATGTAACAATTGTCCAAATAAAAGCTTGAATAGATGCATTTACAAGGTGATTGAGTAATGTAATTTTCATGGCTAATTAATTGACAGAGTTGGGTTACATAATTAATTACGTGAAGCTATTAAACATTCATTTTATCTTCAAAGTTTGCCCACAAAATCCATGGCGCATTTGCTAGGAGGATTAGCTACACCTTTTCTCTGCAAACCCATTTCTGCTTCTTCTTCTTCCAATTACAGTTACACATCCGCTTCATCTTTTGATTCTCTCTACATCAAACGAGCAGCCGAATTAGCTGACAAATCGGCCGGATTTACCGCTCCTCATCCCAACTTCGGCTGCGTTATCGCTGTTCCAAATGGTAGAGCTACGGTGGTCGGAGAAGGTTACTTGTACGCCGAAGGGACTATTCCGGCGGAAGTGCAGGCTGTAGAAGCCGCTGGCGAGCAGTGTAGAGGTGCCACTGCTTATCTTAATATGGAACCTGGAGACTGTCACTGTGATACTAGTGCCGTTTCCGCCCTAATCAAGGTATATTTCTTATTCAATTTCAACAAAACAAGTTTGTCTATTTACTCTATACCATGAAAAATTGGATTGGTAAAGTAGAGATCTTTTTGTTTATTTGTTTGTGAGAATTGAGAAAAGGCACTCAAAGATACCAGCATATACTACTAAGTGTACAAAATATATTTTAGATTTCAGGCATAAAGACATTTACTAGTTTATTTTGCTGTATTTTACTGCAGAAGATCCCAATTGCACATCTCTTATTTAAAGAAACATATATGTTTTAAGAAGCATGGTACTGTAATGCATTCTTGTTGGGAGGAAAAGTTCCTGTAACACTTAAAAGATTCATCTGTTTCACTGCCTTATTAGACAGGAAAACTGATTGAAAAAGTTGATAATATGTGTACTTTATTGCTAAAGTTTAGCGGGAAATGCAATTGATGCATCTTTGTTAGGCAGGGATTAGTAGAGTTGTTGTTGGGATACGGCATCCGCTGCAACACCTTCGTGGCAATGCCATTCACGCATTGAGGAGTGAAGGTCTTCAAGTTGATGTGCTTGGGGAAGATACACAGAGTAAGACTATTGAGGTAATCTAATATGTAGTGCATCCTGGGTAATTCACTTGATGGGCTTCGGCGTAGCAAATTAACTATTGTAAGATCTCAATTCTTAGTTCTGGAGCAATATAACATTCTCCACCAAAAGAATTAAAACATAGCGTTAACTGCACTTTTGATTTTCTTCATCATACGTGTCCTTGTTTTTGCCCTGCAGTTATGGTGAATATCTATCTACTTCCCATATTTGATAAAATTAGAAGTCTCAATAACGACCAGAAATAAAAGGGTATCACATTGATGGTATGGTGCTAAATGTTTGTACGAAAAGAATATACTCATTTTGCTACCTTTAGAAGAAATCTTTAGCTAAATAGCTTTTATGGTTCCCTGGAATTTAAAATATTCTATAAAAGGTGCATGTTATCATCTTTGAAAGGAATTATACTATTGATGCATGTTTATATCTAATTATTAGCATTTATATTAAATCACCACAAATTATATGCTAATTTCAACTTGTCTGATTCAGACTCCTTGCTAGATACCAAGAATTTTCACTAGCAAAAATTGCAAAGAAATTTATGGTATTTAAATAAGTGCCTGACACTTAATTCAAGTACAGGATTTTCGTTGCTGCGTCACATATGTCACACCAGAAAATCGAGCTTATTGCCTCAGTTTTCATCCCTCCATGTTTATCCATTCTTTAGTCCTGGAAATATCAGTGTCAAAGGTTTGGAATGCAAGAATTTGTTAATTGAAGCAGTATTTTGTACATCCTAGCAATTTTTAAGTGTCAAATATTTTCTTTATCTTTTATATTTTTTGGGATCAAGTAAGGGTACATTTTATTTACAAAAGTACCAGGTACAAAGGTCTGAATGTTGCTTCTTTGACAAATTAAGGAGTCCTTGAAGTTCAACTTGGTATTAACATCCTTTACAAAATCTATCTTACACCAAAAAGCCCAAGACTGTAAAAACATCTCTATTTATTGTTGGGGACAGTTTCCTCTTTGTCTTCGAAACATCTGGAATTGAGCATTTTCCAGACTGCCCAAAAAATGCAAGCAGGAAGGTTTTCTTATATTCTTTGATCCTCTTATTGATTGTTTTACCTTGCCAGTAAAAGCATCTCCTTTACTGTTCTTGACATGGCTCCCTGTACTCCTAGAGGGATCCACAAAAAATACTCCAAGTGGGACAGCTGAAAGTGCAATGTAGTTACACATGGTATGGGGATTCATTTTTAGCTCTCACTGAGGAAGCACCTTCTGCATATGTTAGTTCCTCTTCTTTGCCGATTGTCCTTGGCTAGACAAGTCCATTTATAGCTACTACAGTAAGCAAGTTTCTCTGGGTCCTTTGTGTGTCCGTTTTGCTAATCTTGGCCAACTTTCCTCTTCTGTGCTCTGGCTGTCTAGCTGATCTGACTTTGAATTATCTTTCCTTCTCCTTAGTCCATAATAGTGCATTTTGGGATTTGAGGGTACTCTCTAGAAATTGCCGATTCAGCTAGAAACTTGACAGATAGTCAACCTCCCAATCCAAGAACTTCTTCTAAATGACTAAATCTGATACTCCCTGTTGTTCCTTCTCTCAATTCTGCAAACTGCCTCTTTATTGGCTGCTCTGGCATGTAGCTTGGGTATGCTAACTTTAAAGCTTCTGTTCAAGCTGCACATCTTCCGTAAATTTGTTTTCTTTCTCTCCCAATTTTAAGGTTTATGAGGTCAAAGAATTCATTCCACATATTTCTGATGTATTTCCGTACTGAAGTATTCACTGATTAATATAATCAATTCAATTAAAAGACTTGTAAATTTTTGGAATTCAAGCAAACCTAACTAAAGTTAGGGGACAATGAAAGGAACAATCTATATAACAATACCAATTAGCAGGTAATATGTCTTATTTATGTTAGTAACATTCACTTTTGAGTCCTATGCTTTCCGGCAGTTCTTTTAGCTCTATGTGAGGTTTGTATATCATTATAAAATGTAGAGACTCTATAGTACTTTTTATTTTTGTTTGTATTTTGTATAATGTTGGCCTGAGAATAATTCAAATGGAGAAACATGGTCAGTGATGATTCATATAGTTATTTCCTACTCATTTCTGATGAAGGTGGAGTAGTTGTTTGTATCAATGGTAGTCCAGAGTGGTTCTTTGCATCCTCTAGAGGTTTGATCCCAACTTGATTTTGTGTGTCAATTGTCCTGCTTGCCCTTCTTAAGAATATATTTCAGAAGAAACACACTAGAAAAATATCAAAGCTGTTGATATAAACTACTTGACATAAATTACTAATGGGTCTAGCATAATATTATAGTACATTCTCAAAAGATTATGTGCTTTTTATGCATCACTGTAAATTGCTTAAAGCTTAATTTTTTATTCTCGAGACACTTCAAGATACATTACCTGTTTAGTGTTTGCATTGCTTAGATTAGTTTTAGATTTTCATTGAAATAAATGAGGATTTTTTTCTGCAAAACTTAGAGCAGAAGAAGAAAGAGAAATCCTGTAACTACTGTTAATGCGTTTACTATTACTTTGATAACTCAATCTGTTTCATGGGAAGAGTTCGCATTGTAGAGCTAA